GGGGAAGACCAAAAAAACCCAAAACCCAACCACCCAACCCTCCTCCTCCTCACATCTGGTGTGTGGAGCAGTGGTTTGAGCGTCTGGACTAGGACTCTGGAGAGACCAGGGTTCGAATCCCTGCTTGGCCATGGAACTCATAGAGAATGGGTGGCCTTGGGCGAGTCACACTCTCTCAGCCTCAGGGAATGATGGCAGCCAAGAAAACTTACCAAGAAGAAAAACAAAACCTCACGAGAGGGTCGCCATAAGTCGGAAAGGACTTGGAAGGAAGGCACTCAACCCAACAACAACAAAACCTGGAAGGCACGACCCTGCAAGGGATTGCAACTCCAAGCCTTCCTCATTTCCAGCTAATGGGAGTTGCAGTCCTAGTCTCCCAAAGTCCCAACATCCACACCACCACCACCACCAATATTAGTTCTATAATACCCTTCCTCCCCACCCCTGCTTGCCCCCTTAGCCCCTTGCACCTTGGGGAGGAGGGCTGTGGGTCAGGGCCCCTCAGCCACCCCTCCAGCCCTCCAATGGGGTTACTACTACTACTACTACTACTATTACTATTATTACTACTCACAGGGGGGGCTTCTCCCATCTCCTCGGAGCCAGGCGAGGCATGCATGGTGCGTGCAGCAGCAGCAGCAGAGATGTGACAAAGCCAGCCAGAGCAATTGCACCGCCTCTCTCTTTTCCTTTCTTCCTTTCCCCCTCCCTCCTTTCCAGGGAGGCGAGCAGCCAAAACACAGAAGGAAACACACCAAAACACTCCATCCAGCAAAAGCAGCTGGAAGGGGAGGAGAGAACCAAACAGGGAGGGGGGAAGGAGAGAGAGAGAGAGAGAGAGAGAGAGAGAGAGCGAAGCCAGACAATCTGACCAATCACATCCCGTGCTGCCTCCTAGCTGGCCAATCAGCTCCCTCGGGCGGCGTGATGGCCTCGTGCAGCCAGGCTTAGAGCAGGAAAGGCCCCTCGTGGGCACGGGCGGCGGCGGCGGCGGCGG